GACCGAGGACAGAAGTTATGTCCAAATTGGTGAAGAACAAACCAACTAAAATCTCATAAGATGCGTTGTTTCTTCACGTACCAAACTTGAGGGGATTAACTGTCTGTATTTGAAAAAAATAAAAATTAATTAAAGTTGGTGTGTTTAAGTTCTTGATTAGGTGTGATCAATTCAAATACATCCACCATGTATACATATAGCTGTGATTGGACAAATTAAATTGCCTTTAATCAAATTAAGAAGCCTTGAAGCTTGAACCAGTTGATTCGTTACTATACCAACAAATGGGCTAGCTATTGTCCGAGTTCACCAAACTTTCATTTTTCAATTCTCCACGAATGTCAAGTTTTGAAACGGAACAAAGATTTGGGAAAGGAGTAAAATTCTCACTCTTCTCGCTCTACTCGCATTTTCATCTTTATATATAACGGTAACGAGGGACATTTGAAATCGACTAACTAATCATGATGAAATTCCCTTACTAACCTTGGCAATTTAAACGAGACTAACACACATGCAAAATACACGTGGGACACTCATAGCAGTATCAACTAATTATGCTTTGATACCCCCGCAAGTCGGAGCCGGTGCATAAAGATCTAAAATGCCCGAGCTTTGAAATTTGTAGAGTAAAATCTGCAGTGCCAATGGCTTGGTAAAACAATCAGCCAATTGATTAGTTGAACTTATAGGAAGGAGATGGACAATCCCTCGCGAAGCTTCTCCCTCACAATGTGGCGATCTATTTCAATGTGCTTTGTTCTTTCATGGAAAATAGGGTTTTTGGCGATATGAATTGCAGATTGGTTGTCGCGAAAATCAATGTCGGGTGAGTGTGAGGAAGATGAAGGTCTTTTAATAGGTATATCAGCCATTGCATTTCACAAGTAACTACCGCAAGTGCCCCGTATTTAGCTTCGGAGGAAGACCGTGAGACGGTCGGCTGCTTCTTTCATTTCCGGGATATGAGCGATGAACCCGTAAACACGCAAAAACCAAGTGATGTAACGCCTACTATCCACACAAGTAGCCCAATCGAGTCGGAGAATCCCTTAAGGTGAAATTGATTGTTTGAAGCAAAAAATAGACCTTGACCGAGAGCACCTTTGATGTATCGAAGGACCCTATGTCTTCGTCGTAAGGTGAGCTTGGGTTGGTCCGTCCGCAACCGACTTAATTGTTGCACTTGCATAGGAGAGATCGAGTCTAGTGTTTGTGAGATAGAGTAAGCGACCAACCAATTTTCCGTAAACGAAGTATCGGGAAGAAGAGTGCTATCTTCGCGCTTAACTTGACGATAGCTAACATAGGTGATTTTGCGGGTTTGGCACCAATAAAACCTACATCTTGTAATAATTTTAGGGTACATTTCCTTTGACAAACACTCGTCATACCCTCAACCAATTCACCCACCTTACCTATTTTCATCCCTCCTTCAAATAATGCCTCTTCGAATCATTTTCCGCTCCTTCCGGATGATCCACATGATCCAAAACTCCTCCTACATATCTTCAAGATTATCATCGTGCACTACACAATCAATCGACTCAAGTTTTGCCTTCGCTGGTTGTGTTTCTTTTCCTCCCACGAGTTCTACTCCTCACTTTTTATCTTCGAGTGTTATTCTATTCTAAATGTTCATTACCTCATAAACTCTTTAGTGTCGGTATCTCTACTACCATCGAGCCTAGTACTTACCATCAAGCGAGTTCAGTTTGATTGCTTGGAAAACAGCTATGAATGAAGAAATCAAGGCTCTGCAAGCCAATCATACTTGGGAACTCACCGATCCGCTTCGTCGGTAAACAAAGTATAGGAATTTTTGTTTAAGTGGGAATTTTTCCAAACAAAAGCTCAAAAGGTGTTTTATCATTCAATACAGGTGTAGGAATTTTATTGATTAAGTGAACAGCATGAAGAACATAATCTACCCTAAAAACAAGTGGAAGAATGGCCCGAAACCTAAGAGCTCTAGCAATCGTTAGTATGTGTTGATGTTTTCTCTCAACAATATTGTTTTGTCAGGGTGTTTTGACACGGGAGGTTTGGTAGAGAATGCCTTTCGAAGCAAAGAAAGAAGGCATATTGAACTCTTGGCCATTATCCGTTCCGAAGGTTAGAATCTTGGTAGAAAATTAAGTTTCAACAAGAGTACAATAATTTTCAATGAGCTTTCTTGTGTCGATTTATGTTTCATCAAAAAAACCTGAGTAGCTCGACTATAATCATCAACAATAGTAAGGAAGTATTGATAGCCGGACAAAGAGGGATGTGCCATGGGACCCCAAATATCTACATGAACAAGTTCAAAACACTTTGTAGAAAAGGAGGAACTAATGGGAAAATGAGGACGTTTTTGCTTTGCATAATGGCAAATATCACATCGAGGATTAGAGATGTCGACAGGTACATCTTTACGGAGAGAATGTAAAGCAAGTAATCTAGAATTTGAAGGATGACCTAGTCTATAATGCCATACATCAAAAGAATCATGAACAATGGTATTTGAAGCGAAGTATGATGAGTATTTAAGTGTAGTGGAGTTATCAACTGATACAAGCCTTGTTTACGCTCATCTGTACCAATCATCCTCTTCGACCGATGGTCCCGTATAACACAAGAATCGAATGAAAGAACAAAGAGCATCCGGAGTTTTTGGTTAGCTAACTTACCGAGATAAGATTGAAGGAAAAGCTGAGAACAAAAAAGGCATTATGCAAGATAAGTGCATCGGACAACCGAACTAATCCAACATGTGTAATCGCTACTTGTTGGCCATTAGGCAACTTGACAGAGATATGAGAAACTGGATTGTATTCGGAAAAAAATCTAAGGAGCAAACAATGTGGTTCTGTGGCACCGATATCTAATATCCACAAAGTTGGATTAGAAATCACGGAACCACAAAAGGAATTATAAGTACCGTCATGGAAGTGAAGTTACTAGACAAGGCATTGACGAGTAGTAGACACAACAGTCGTGATTGGGGTTGAATTAAGGCTAGAAGTTTGGAGTATTGATCTGCAAGTGAAAGAAGCTTGCACACCACCGGGAACGTGACTAGAATCACCGGGAGCGATAAGTTGATTACTAGAAAACACACTACTAGAAGAATTACAAGCTTTATGTAGGCCTTCGGTACCACGGATCTCAACTCGATTGGAAAAACAATTAAAGCCACCATGAGTTTTATCAAATGATTTGTAGCTCGGAGGAAATCCATGCTTCGATAAGCACTTATCCACGGTATGTCCCGGAAGACCACAAACCACACACCTGAAGCTTTGACTTCCCATTATAAACTTTCTTCCTCCGACTCGTGAAAGCATCTCTTCCGGAAGCAAGAACTCTACCGGAAGAGGAGGGAGAAAAACTTTTGTGACCTTCGTCGAGAACGATTATGATGAGACACGGACTTATTAAAGAAAACAACGACTAGAATTGTTGTTGCTATTTGAACTTGATGCTCCAAATCCTACATTTAGCTAACGTTCATGTTGAATAACCATGCCAAAAACTTTATTAATGGACGGAAGAGGATCCATCGAGTAAGATTTGAGACCGTACGATTGCAAAATTATCATTTAAACCCTTCAAAAAACGAATCACATAATCACAGATTCGAAAATTCTTGATTCTTTGAAAGGCTTCACAACAAGCATTGAGGATTGCATGTGCATTGAGGTATAGTTCTTAGATTCGAAAACTCATCTCAAAGTATTTTCAAGTGAGTGAAATAATGAGTAACGGAGAGAACACCTTGATTATAGGAATAAATCTCCTCTCGAAGCTCTGCAATTCGAAGTAATCACCATGGGAGAATCGATCACGTAGATCCGACCGGACTTCGAGAGCACTATCTAGCCAAATGACGCTTTGAGCGATCTCGGAGAGAGAGAGATCGAATGAGCCAGGAAAGCACCATCGTATCGCATCTCTCCCAAGCCAAATATAAAGCATCGGACTTGTCTAGAACTTTGATAGTTCCATCAACAAACTGCAGCTTGTTCTTAGACGTAAGCGCCATCCTCGTAGAGCGATGCCGGGAATGATAGTTAGAATCAATGAGTGGAGGAGAAACCAAAACAAGAGAAGGATTCTCACTAGCATGAAGAAAGTAAGGATCGGACATCCGTTCCTCGGGTCTCAAACTTGTGAAACTCACGGACAGATTAACGAGAGGATGCGATCATTCTAACTTTGGAGAGACGAAAGAAAAATTTAGTTGTTTGGTTCCTCGGAAAACTCAAGAAAGGAACCTTCTAGAAACTTGATGAATGCTCGATACCATGTCAAGTTTTGAAACGAACAAAGATTTGGGAGAGGAGTAAAATTCTCACTCTTCCGCTCTACTCGCATTTTCATCTTTATATATAACGGTAACAAGGGACATTTAAAACTCGACTAACTAATCATGATGAAATTCCCTAATTAACCTTGGCAATTTAAACGAGACTAACACACATGCAAAATACACGTGGGACACTCATAGCAGTATCAACTAATTATGCTTTGATAAATGTGCATATATTACTAGCACAACGACGACACCACTAGCAAGTTAGTTTAGTTGATAAAATCATCCGGCATCATCTCAAATAATATCGGATCAGATTTTTCAGACATAAAGAAGTAAATGGGTAAATAAGATGGATAAAACTATTCTCATAAGCTTCTAAATGAGAAAAATGAGAAATTCCTTGTACAATTACCGGTCCTAAACTCATCATGCATAAATTATGGTATACATCAACAGCTCTAAAAATTCAAAAAAAAAAAAACTTTTTTTTCATAAAAAAGAAGAAGAAGAAGGATACAAGCAGTACACACGTAGAAAGCAATTTGTTCGTTAATTTTACAAAATATGTAATCTGTAATCAAGACACTGTACATGGGCCCAATAAAAAAAAATTGAAAGCTAATGTGTATGTGTTAATGGTATGTGTAGAATGTCTATAATGCTCCTACCAGTATAATGACATTGACCATTACGGTAAAAATCATGTAAAACCTAGCATCAATGCCACAACCAATGTTATCCACCACTGAGATAATCTGATTCTAATTAAATCAACAGCCTGACTTGTAGAAATATCAGACTCTAACAAAGACCCAAGTGTGAAATTAGGGTTTGATCCATACAGAGCTTGCACTCCTTGTATATCATCAACGCTCAAATCCAGCTTCTTTTTTCTAGGTTTCAAACTAGGGTACATGACAGCCTCTTCAGCAGAAGAGTGGGCCAATCCTAACAAATGGCCAATCTCATGGACAGCCACTGATTCCAAATCAACAGCAACCTTTGACTTCTCCAAACCAAAATCAATGGCCCATGTTTCTTCTGCATCAAGATGAAATTTCCCGCTTTCAGGTGAGAATGAATGAGCCAAAACTCCTAAAACCCCATCAAACGGTTCTCCATCGCCATGATCTCCACTGTAAAACCCTATTTTAATATCGGCAAAAACATAATCTTCTGTCTCCACAAAACTCAATGGTGTTACTGATCCCCATTTTGCAAAAGCGCGTTTAAACACTTCTTTAATATCTGACAGACGCAATGACTTGATCAAATTCTCTTGAGAAAATGAGTACGTCAAAGTCATTGGTATGCTACGTGTCCACCGAGGTTTTCCAGGAAAATACATGTAATGTCTAGATGCGTGCAATTTATGAAACATTGCATCATCAGGCACGCCACACCTTGGTGCCGTGATTTGATTTAGAGTATCAAAATCAAGCTTACCAGTAATTTGAAGACCGAGTTTAGCTTGATATCGAACAATCGCTGTTTCGAACCGGGCATCAAATATATCTGTTATGTTATTGAAATCTTGTGATGGGAGATAGCCAAAATGATGGAAGTATCTTTTGAGCTCCGATATTCCCTTGACATGGCTGCCTTTCCTTGCATCGAGGAAGCTCGCAAAGCTTTGCCACGCATGGTTAGAATCTTTGGCCGTTGCAGCTTCTGTAGCCAGCGTGGTGGTGACTGCAGGCGTTGGTCGAGCGGCGGAGCATGGTGTATTGTAGTAGAGAAAGAGGATAGAGAAAACGAAATACAGAAGCATGGTCAGGTGATGATCAGTTGATGTTGAGGACTTTGGACATCGCAGGTAAGCAGGGAAGCTTTATTTGAAAGGAAGGGGGCAAGTCTGGTAAATTATGGGTGTTGAGTTTTGTTGATGATTAACGGGTTGAAATATATGATAGGAACATAATTAGGGTAGGACTTATGATAGAGAATTGAAATAATGTGAAGTTGGAAAGGAACCTTTCGTATTTGACGGATTCGATGTTAATTAATTAGTAAACGCTTAATAATTCCATTTTCTCTTTTATTACTAATTAATGAAAGACATTTGACCTTATATTCATGATTTTACTTATACAGTTTGTAGAGTTAATGGGGGAGAAAAGATGGGATAATAGCGGCAATTCTCTGCTGGGAGAATCAGAATTACAAGAACATGCATGATCAACTGTTACCAAGTTTGTTGATAAGTAGGACCAGATTGGTTGACCTAGCAAATCATCACACTATCGATTCTAAAATTTAATGAACTTTAAAAATTTCTTGAGCTTTACGTTTGTGTTACTTTTTTTGTGATTTGATTTAGCTATTAGGAATTTATATTACTCGTAATGAAATTAAGATTCAACGGTTAATTAGTTTTGAATTGGCTCATGGCTAAAAATCGATCAATCATGATCCTCTATTCTTCAAATTCGATCAAATCAAATCCTATACTTTAAATCAGATCCAATTAACTCCTCCACTTCCAATTCATGAAGCACTATTTAAGATGAAGGAATCGGATGAAGGAGCTCAAATCATCTTTAACTAAAACTTATACGTTACAAAATAAGGAATTGAAAGACAAGTTTAAGAAATTTTACTTAAGATAAATGCCTGAAGAAACGCGTGGCATATATAGTCATGCATTGCTTAAATATTGGAAGAATGCAGGATTGGATGCTAGAAGATAAAGTCCATGTTTCAGGTCTAACTAACGTTTTGGGTTGATGCTTCAAGTCTAACTGTTTCAAGCAAGAAGTGGCACTGGTCGTTAGAGTGCATGATTGTTGCTGTCGTTAGGGGTCTCTCTCTGCCTCTCTATATCACGTATATTTTTGGCGTAAGAATGACTCAATATGCAAACTCTGATCAGAAAGTCACAAACAGCTACTGTTTTTCAAAGCATCGGGCGTGTTACGTGTATAAGACTCAATGTTCTGTCCAAGTAAGGTTACCCATAACTGCCATTTTAGGCCACAACAGTACCAGATTGTGTACAGTTTTTTGCAGACCCCTGATCCACGTACACTGAATGTCTTAAGAATGCTCATTTAGCAAGATTTTTCAAAAGAAAATTAATATATTAAAAAAACGCCTGCAATTTAATTTCACTTCATACATCTCGTTTAAAAAAGGACCCATTATTCAAAACTATCTGTATAGCCAATCAGTGAACTTTCATGGGAAAAAATAAAATAAAATAATGGATGCTAACTAAATAAGTTTGATAAATTTATTTGGCTACATGTCGGAACTATAATCAACTCTGGTTTAAATGAACATATAAAACTTTCTCCCTTTTTCAAGAATTTTTTTTAAAAAAAAACAATCAAACAAAAAACAAAGAAACTGTGACTTCGTAATCTTATGGTTCTGAACTCTCTGAACTGAAATAGATGGTCCATTATAAATGACGAGGGACTGGTTCTGGGTCTGAAATATTTTACTCCTGTTTATTTTTTGTTTTTCCCAAAACTCGAACAAGGCCATCAAGCCAAATCTAGAACCAACTTCTTTAAGAAGTAGGTCTTGAACTTCCGCCCAAACTTTGAGTATCTTTAACTGAATAACTGGATTTTGGAGAAACTATTGGGCTTAGCCCGTCTTCTTTGCTACTGTTCGTTTTAAGATGCCCTTAGAGGTCAAACAATGCCTCGTCCATTATTACTTTAGTCCTGCTGTAAAATTCTTGATAGGACAGTAGAGCAAATTAATTATTGTCGGGCTAATAGTTCTAGTTTATCTAATTACACGCGCTTAACACTAGAGGTTAAACAATGCATCGTCCATTATTACTTTAGTCCTGCTGTAAAATTCTTGATAGGACCGTAGAGCAAATTAGTTATTGTTGGGCTAATAGTTCTAGTTTATCAAATTACACGTGCTTAACACTAGAATCAAATAACGATGACTAACTGATTTCTTTTGGTTGGATTAGGGGTATTTTCATACCAGTTTTTAGATTATTGAAACTAATTCCATCTCTTCAGATCTTATTAAAAACATAATATTTACACGGAGATCAGAGAGTTTATGAAAACTTTTACTTCTCACAGCTTGGCATGAGATTTGATCTCTTAAGGATACACTTGGGCTATGGTCTGGCTGAGAACAATATTTCAATCTAAACAGTACAGTAGAATTGACGGAGATGTTGGGTAAGGTCATGGGCTATCTAGCTCAATTGTTGAGCTGATGATCTTAGTTTCCCAGATCGAAGATTGTGGTATAGAGAACATGTAAATTGTTACATTTTCATTTTTTAAGTCATAATGTCAATTACAAAGTCCTGAACGAGTAACTTTTACTCAATTATATGCCTTTCTTTTACTTTTTTTCTGAGCAATAAACAGAAAGATGATAGCAGAACAGATACAAAAGAACAGAAAAGTAGATTCAATTTCTAAACCAAGAAATCTGCTTGCTTAGCGAGAGAATTTGGCCACGTTTCGCGCCTTGCGTCATACGTTGATGAAGGAATCTCTGGCAAACACAGGCACTAGAGATTCGAAGGAATTGCAGGTAGACTACAATAGGTGATTGATAAGTAGAGGAAACTTACAAAACCAAGGAAGGAACCTCCTCATTGCCTTAAAGAAGCCCTTCATGGAACCCCTGAATGCAGCATACAAACGGAACTGCATCAACGCAGATATTGAAACGGGAAAAAACGCGGCAATTGAAATCAAACCAGCTGTCAATTTTTTCTCCGATTGAATGATGAGTAAAATGGTGGCAGCGAAAGCAAACATGGTTGTCATCACGGAGAAGAAGAGTAAAGTGAATCCCAAAGTCAGTTTTCGAGGGATTGAGTAATGAAAATCGTCATCTTCAAAAGGAGAGAAGTGAGGATAGAAAGGAACATCATAACTGAGTAAGGCGATAATATCCATGATGGTGAAAAACAAGAAAAAAATTTGTTCAGGAAATTTGGAATGCCCTTATCATTTGAACCACCAGGTACATTGTAGGCAGCAACAAAGACAATGGTGGCAACGAAAACAGCTACAGCTGAGCATGACTGAGCAGTTTCCTTGATCCATTGTTGCGCTGCCTGGAGTTGCTCTTTGCGGTTCTTTTTGAAGAGCTCCTCTGCAGTTATGTCATGCTTAAAGTCGCGGTGCTTGGTATAATAAGAAAGGATGGCCTTCTTGACACGCTGCATATGAAAGGAGAACATGATAACAAACTCATCAAAATGAAAATTTATACGCAATTGGGATCCAATTCTAAATCACTTAGGATGATGCCAATTTACTTTGGTAGGTTAATAAAATATGAACTTTTTTTCTGATACACTGGCATAAAGATACTGTATGAAAGGGGCTTACTGTGAACCATTCTAACTCTTACTTAATTGAAGTGCAGGACCAGGCTCGCTTCCTCCAGTGTAATAATTGTTGTCTGCTACTTGGTGCAACATATTGTAGCCATTATTTTCAATTCTAGAGCTCATCCTGGCCAATATGAAAAGTTTCCCTGCGTCTGCACATTATAGCCACATTCAATATGCTCTGCCCTTTTGTGTTAAGAAGCTCAACAGCCTGAGGATACTCTTTGAGCATTTCATAAAGAATCTCTAGTATTCCTGTTTTAGATGCTGTAAACAAAGGATGCGGAGGATTGAATGAAAACTCCTCCTCGTCTTCTTCTTGTCCTTCTAGTGGGGCTGGACCAAAAACAGAGGATCCAATGTAAACTCCATCCCAGCCCCGTACAGTAATTTCTTGATCCCACGAAACATCATTCCCCGTACAGTAATTCCGAACACGAGGAACCCTAGATGCTGTCGGAGTAAAGGATCCTCAACAACGGCGTTCTGGTGCGTTGTAGATTCTTATTTCTGAAGAAGTTCCCATCTTGCTCTCTCTGTCCAAATTGTGTTCTGCTTTGATTATTACCGGAGCAAACTCTTATGAAACCATATTAATTAATCCAAAAAAGATGAAAGATGCCTACCAATGCACAAATATTCGACAAGTACTCCAGTGACATACATCTGTTACAAATTCAACGCAAGTAAGTTCCTAGCAACAAATTCATAGAAAGAAATGGCAATACTTAATCAAATAATAATAGGAAACAATACCAAATGCATATAACTGTACCTTTTTGCTAGTTTATGATGTTGAATGACACTGAAGTTCAGAAAAAAACAGACTGGTACCTTTTAAAGTTCAGTGAAAATGTTATCTCTACTTACTCTCAGAAAAAGGGAAAAAAGAAAAAGAAAAAAGAGGGTGTCTCTGCTTGCTTAGTTTGTAAAGTTAAAGCACCATTAACACAAATACAGCGTAGTGTTTAATTAAAAGTTAGAATGACTAGTGTGTTGAACCATGCTTTAAAATGTAAGCTCCAAATTATCATCAGCTCATTCTCTTTTCTTTATTTATTCATGCTAGCTAAGACGTGATTGACGCCATCATTTAAAGGCGATGATGCTTTGCTTGCTATTTATGTTTTGTATCCCACGTGAGATTATGCTTTTCCTTCCCTGAGGTTATTCAACCATTGACAGGAGTAAAGAACAGCAAAAAAAGGACCATCTGGAGCAAAAGGAAGTGAAGAACTCAAGAAAGAAACAGAGAGCATCGAAGCCTGTACTAGAGATGACTAAACAAAAACAACCATCAGCCCCCCATCTAAGCGCAATGCCAGGGCAGCAGAAAGGCATAATTTCGAACCGATGGCAGACAGTCCAATCCAATCCCACCAGAACTAGAGCCAGAGGTTTTTGTTCCAACGAGTTCACGCATTGCAAACGATGACCCTCCAATCTAAAATGCACGATTTTGGGCCTGAAAATGGGAAAGCATGAATTTGGGCCAGAGTGGGCTGACATAATTTTGCATGCCAGTAAAGGGCTGGTGGTTATTTAATTTTAAGAGGCAAATATGGATCAGGGGAGCCACATGCTATAACAAACGGTCCAATTCTACCATTTAGGGGAGTAATAATTTAGGCTTAATCCAATCTCTCTCCCTCCTTTTTTTTATTATCTTTTTGAGTTTTACTCAATTAAATCTCGTTCATAAAATTGAGTAGGTCTAACTACTGGATTCCAAATCCAGCAGTTAAAATTTTTGGTAAAGTAATTTTGGAAAGAAACTTCAATTAGATTAGCATTAGTTCTTTTCTGCTAATGGTCAAGTGGTGTGCCAGGTATAGCTAAATTGAATCAGAATATTTTTCCAATTAAATTATGTCAATAGCATGGAAGTACGGGAATTAAAAGAACTTGCTAGAAAAATTCTTGAAATCTGGATTTTTGTAAGCCTTGAACCGGTGATTTGATTTTTTGATAGCAAAAAAATCTGAGCGAATTAGTTGGACCTAATTCTTTATACAAGTTGTTTTTATCTAACGCGGTTATATATCTCACAGTTTTTAATAACAATTAAGTTTTTTTTTATCAATATTTGTAATTTTATCAATTATAATAATATAACAATGAAAGATTATGCGTAGCTCCAGAAACCTAATGTAGCGGATGCGGAATTTATAGTTTAATTTAAAAAAATTAATAAGGGAATGTACGAATTCGGAACATTAACATCAGTTGAGCCATAATCCATGACTTATCGTGTTTGTTGCTTAGTGGTACACTTAAAAAAAATATACTAGTAGTAGTTTTATATGTTTTTTTTTTTTTCAATTTCGAAGAAAATTGGAAAAATCTCATCCTCTATTTCTGTCCTTGATCGATATTATGTACACTATGAAGATGGAAGAGTAGCGAATGTGCACAAATAGAGTACACGTAGTACAAAGTGCTGTAGTTTTTGCTACAAATCTGACCAAATTCAATCAATCCTGACCATAAAATTCACTGGTTGACTTCAAGGAAAGACACTGGCATCTAACCAACAGAAGTCACGAGTGGCAGCAAATTTCTACTTAGCCTTCTTAGAAGGGAAGTAACTAGCAAGGGACCAACTTTGAGAAATCATTGAGGCAATTTTCCCCAATGGTGATAATAGTGTTAGAAGAAGATGGGTCCATTACGAAGGCCAGATCCATCTGTACAGATAAACGAAGACACTGTTTACTTTCTTTTATGAGTTCACTGATCAATGCAATAAAAAGAGGCAGGCCCCATCTTGACTCAGCTTGATGGAACTAGGGCACTTCTCTTCTTTTCCAGCAAGCGATAGTGCTGATAAGAATATTCTCATATTCTCTTCTTCTTCTTTTTTAACTTCCATATTTCTTTTTCATGTTCAGCTCTCTCCTACTATTTTTTTTTTCTTTAATCTTCCATCAAAGCGAAGCATCAAAATTTAGTATTTTTTGTTGTATCACTAAATAAAGTGATTGCTGGTAAAAGTTAATATAAATCATTTTAAAATCCCATTCAGTAATATAAATTTTGAATTGAAATAATTTTTTAATATAAAATCAGAGTTTTTTTCAAATCATGGATATCGGTTTAATCTCTCTAATTAAATTAAAAATTCAATGCCTTTTTTGTTCAAATGGTTTTTTGATGTTACAAATTGAGTTAAAGAAATTTTGCATTTTGAAATTTTATTTTGTATAAATGAACCGGGGCCGGGGAGTATTCAATCCCTAGCTAGCCTGCAGGCAAAAAAAAAAAAGGTCTTTTCAGAGTTTGGTATTTTACAGGTTAATTTATATCATATATCTTCAATTCGAACATAACTGGAATTCTGATTATTGGATAGAGATACATTGAATGATTCTGTCACAATCCCTATTGAATCTAGATACTCAACAAATTTTGTAAATGTTCTGAATTTGCAACATGATTATTGCTCATAAATGGTCCCCTCTAACATATAAGAACGATTCAGAGATCAAAGATGGTCCCCTCTTTTTATTCCCTTTCTTTCCCATTGCAATCTTTTTTGTTGTTGTTTCATTAAAAGGAACAATGTGGTCTCAAACTTCTGTTTGATGAGTTCGTACAGAAATAGAGAACTTGGGAATCAAGTTTGCTGAGTTACACGTGTCAAACACCCATTTAACCAAGTACACAGTAAGAGTTCTCCTCCCTGTTCATGGGATCATTATTAGTTGTTTTCTTATATTTTTTCTTGTTATTGAAAGATCACTCCGTGCTGACCCTCATTTGCCTCCCAAGTTGGACTTCGACATAGCGATCCACCACATGGATCCCACAACATTGGATTCCCAATGTCAACAGCTGTCATTTCCAACCTCTGCTTTTTGGATAATGGTAGATTGGTAACCATATGACGCGATTTATGAGTAAATTATAAATTACTCCCTCTAGTTTTTTTTTTTAAAATTAAACAATATCTCTTATTTCAATAACTAATTTATTAATTTATTTATAACTTAATGATTTTCTAGTCTTTTTCAATAAATATAAAAAAAATTATGAAAAAAAAATTATTTAAAATAAAATAATATTAAATTGATTATAATCAGCACTAGTTAAGAACTAAAAACTTAGTTTTTGAAAAAAAAAACTATTTAATTTATTTTTGAAAACTAGATGGATTAATTTATAATTTACAATACAGTTTATGCAGTTTTTCTCCTTAGGAATATATACATATCCGCAGCTTTAGGTTGGATTGAAACACTGCACAAGTGCACATGGTAGACCTTAAAAATTTGAGCCTCTAGAGGAGTTAAAAACTTGTATTAAAAACTAGCGACCCAAGCTACCCTAAATACATGTAGATTATGTGTTTTGTGTTTTGGTACGAAAATATAAGTTATGATGGCAGATGTTGTTGTGTGTGTAATTTAAAACTTAATCCAATTATACTTCAAATGTATGCTTACGTTTTCTTAATTTGATTGTTTGGATGTTTCTATGAAATTTTTGTATATCAAGACAAATTCTTTTTCGATGAGTTTTTGGACAAACTATCTACATTTTTTTTATCTCATCGACTTCTGGTATAAGTTATTAATTGTTTCTTTCATAATATTAATAAGCACAAAAAGTTGATTAAAAGTATTTTTCTTTTTTTATAAAAGTGATCATTGTCTGCGTTCCATGCAACCATTATTGAACATCAGATTTATCTATTCGATAACAAGACAAGAACGGTCAATCCGACCCTCGAGAACAAGACCTAATCTGAGAGTAACCAGCCCAAACCAGAGTCAACTTTTTCTAATCAAAACGTAGATTTTTATTTTTAATCTTGGACATACTGCTAGAACTTGGTAATAAATTCACCACGCTGAAAATTTGGGAATTTACTTGAGGTATATGTATGATATTGACTAGTGTCCATCGATGTCAGGTAGTCTGTGTTTGCTTTTTTATCGCATAGCTAACAAAAACAAGTTTTTCTACGCTAGTTATGGGACTGCTGTAAAGTACTTTATTTTACATTCCAGAAACAATAAATTAATGTAAATAAAACAGCAGCAACGCGCAGCTTTAGCCTGCGTAGAATGCCACTTGAAACAACAGTTGGCGCACAGCCAACTGCCAACAGTGTCATGGACAAAATATCGCAGGCTGTCTTATCCACCTTGCACAGGCAAGCTTGGGGTTGTAATTCCACTGGCTTTTTTTGCGTTGTTATCGAACTTTCCTTTTCACCATTTCACTTGCAACCAAAGGAGGTGGTAATTCATGGTCAAGGCATGACTTTTTGGCTAATTGCAGTCTATGCTCTGCCAGGTATCTATACCTTTTGCCTAAAAATATCAGTCGTCCCAATATGTATGATTTTAAGCACGATACTTTACAGTGTTGATTCTCGCTGTTCGAATCATTATTTTGTTAATTGGGCTTTTTCTTGTTTTGGAATCATAGAGATCGCGAGTATAAGGTACATAAAGACAGACTTAGGTCCAATAAATAAAATAAAAAATTTCAAAGTATGTTTAATTTAAGTTTTATATACTTGTAAGGAGGTCATAAATTCAATTTTTTTTTAATTATAGAAATGGGTTAAGACCTTGTTGATCAATTCAATCTCTTTCTTGATAATTAAACTCTTATGTCTCATTAACTAAAGGCTGTAGATGCTAACTTTTTGATTGCTTGAAAAAATTTAATATGTTTTAGTACTCATTCCCCCCTAAAAACGAAAAACACTTGGAAAACTTTATATTATTAGTATATAACTTATGCACTAAGACCCATAAACTTAAAATATAACCAAAAAATTTCGTTAATTGGATCCTTAAAAGATGAAAAGCTATTCGATTGAATATTTCAATCCACGTCAATATATATATATGATGTAGCATATTTTTTTAATAGAATTCTATGTTTTTTAATGAATTTAAATATACAAAATAATTTAGATATGTACGAACACCTCGAGAATCAAATTGAGAATCATACAATCAATTATGGATTAAAATGAGTTTTTTCAAAAAAAAAAAAAAGGATCTCGGGTTCTCTCTCTCTCTCTCTTCCTTCAATCTACCACATCATTTATGGATTACACCAATAAAAAAATAGTCAAAATCATGTGAAATTCACACACCATTTGAGAGAAATTATTCATTAGTTCTGAAATTCACTTTAACTTGCTTACCCTATACTCCACACCAATCATTACTTTCCACGTCAGGTATTCTTGCACTTGTTATATCCTGACGGAGAGAAAAATTAATCCTAACCGCTAATGCTTTAGCTTTTAATTAGTTTTTTTACTTACCCTAAATTATGACTTGAATAAAATATATAAAATTATTTAAAAAAATTATTTTAGTTTGATAGTCTGTTTTATAGTATGAATCTATAAAAAGATATGAAATCAAAAGTATAAAAAACTATAATTTTTTAATA